CTTTCATTTCATGAATTGTAAAAACATTTATACTAATCTTTGAATTTTGATCACTCAAAATATAGCAGAGAAGAGTTGGTTACGCTAGTGCAATTTTCCTTTCCAAGGAAATTATGGAATCATAAAGCAGAATTCTTGAAATATCTTTTCAACCCACCTTTGTCGTCAATGTAAATGATGTCAAATCTATTGGTATAACCTGCAGCCCACTCAAAGTTATCAAGAAATGACCAAATGTAATAACCCTTCAAGTTAACTCCTTCCCTACAAAAGTAATTATTTGCCAAAAATAAGAAACCTAAAAACGTATAGTTAAAACAAAAAACGATTTTGCACTGGACTACAAAACAAGGACACTAGGATAAGGAGCCAAGCCCTTTGATATTAAGGGTTCTCCCCCATCCAAAGATTCCTGTTTTCAAGTCTAGTACAGCTAAATTGCATAAAAGGAGACATAGTAAAAATGTGATGAACATTCCAAATTAATTAACTGGATAGCTAGCTACTAACTTGATTGCTTTGGATAAATATGATAGGTGGATACTGTGATACTGTATTCTCATTGTATCATTGATAAAAGCACTCATTGTCAATGACATGTTGTTTAAATCACCCAGTCCTGGAAATTAACAACCAAGTGTATAAATTAGTTTCATGCTTCATTCCATCTAAAAGAAAGAAACTAGAAACTGGAAATGAGAAAATTTACCATTCTCTATTATGATAATAGCTGGATTCTTGTATCCTTTTTCATATATAGCAGAAGATTTCGAATTCCCCTTGGATAAATGTACAACCAGCTAACACTCATCTACAAAATTATATGCATATTACACTAATTTGGTGACAAAGAATTAATTCAATTTGAGAGATAATTGAAAGAAAGGTAGCTAGAGATGGTTTATACCCGTTCACCAATTGGAATTCCATTTTTCTCCGCTATAACAAAAAAAGGAAAATCAAAATAATGATTTAATTGGAACATAATATTGCAAGTTCATTATAATTTGATAAATTGTCAACTTGTAGAAGCTTACTGGTAATATTGATGTGACTATCTGTGGTGTAACTCAAGTTGACAGTGTTATAATATGTAGAATCATTTGCATACCTTGCAGTGTAATAGGTCACTCCAAGGAAACTAAATGACCCTTTTACCATTTTAGACTACTTTTTTGTGAAATTGGGCAGTCGGTTCTCTGCCAAATCTCGCATTGTTTTGGGGTAATCACCATATACAATTGGATTAAGAATCCTAAAAAAATAAGTAAATAAATTACAATTACAAACATATATGTTGCCAAAAGAAACATATGTTAAGTGTTTTAATGCGCACTAGCCCCAATCAAAATCACGAGCCCTTAGGGCAGCTCTTCTACTAGCAATTGTATCAAATTTTGGAAGATACCACTTACAAAGCACTGTTACCCCAACTTTTCCATTTTGCGAGGCCTATATGAAATTAAAGTTAGTGTGTTTATATTTACCAAGGAAAAAGTGTTGTATAGTCTAGACTATACTAAACTACATAACACTTACCATTGAATAAGAGGTGGATTTCATCTAATGGCCCCTATTTTGCAATCCAATATGGAGAGACTACAAAATAGGGACTCATTTATTAGTTACTGCAAGAAAAGTACACAAAATGTATTACTAGCTTGATATTTGTCCTTGTACAATTGCAAAATCACTGCCTGAGAAAGAATGAGGTGATTCATTACTATATATGGCTCAATAGCTGAATTTCCCTCTATGCAATTTCCAATATAGTTAGAACATCTGCTAGGTGCATAGTCACCATTTGCATAACCTTCCATACTAAAGAAGTTTGGTTCATTCATGGTCACCCATAGTTTCACTCTATCGCCAAATTCATAAAAGCAAAAGTTGGCATAATCCTGAAAGTCATCCCTAATAATTTAATTTAATTAATAGTTATCATACAATTTAAATTAGGAAAATGATTACACCCTCCAGTTCAACACACCTTTTGACACTTGCCTTGTTTAATAATTAAAATATAATATAAGTATAATTGATTTAGCTAGTTTCTACATGTTATATGCATCGCTGCATCTTTAAATTTGTTTACTTTTAATTTGAAACCAAAAAATAATAATTTTTTAATAAATATATTGCGCAATGTTTTAATTAAAGGGTGCACCAATCAATGTTTTTTAAACTTTTAGTTCAAAATGCCCCAATTAATCCTAAACTAGCTAGTGTAACAATTGCCAATGATTTAATATATATATATATATAGGTGGAAGGTGGGCGAAGAAGTGGGAGAGATTTCCTTCCCATTATGTTATCAAAAAGAACAATAATTTATACATCTTTTAGTTTAACATAATTCACGACACATTTATTAAGAAATTATTATTTTCATATTTGAATTCAAAGTGCGAAAAATTTCAACTACAAAATTTAATGATTGAAGTGGTGGGTGTTAGTATGTGTGTTGAATTAAGGGTATACCAATCATTTTGCTATCAAAAATTAAAAAAAGAGGGGAGGGGGGGAGGAGGAGCCAATTAATACACAATGTTAGGGCTCAAGAATCCGCCATACTCATCTTCAAGGACTTGTGGAAGATCCCAATGGAATAAAGTAACTAAGGGCTGAATTCCTATTTGAAAATTGGAAAAGTGCAAAAAAATCACAAAAATTGGCAGCGTTATTATTTAATTTGGTAATTGATATATAGATATATATAGAGTAAATGGTGCATATCGATCCTAACTCTCATAAAAAAATTGGAGTTTCAACTTCAAAACACTATTCTCTAATGAATATTTTTGAAAACCAACCATTAAATTTAATGTTCCATTAATATTAGATTAAATGTCAATTTTTAAGTTGATTTGACATATATAATCATTGGATAAGAAAAACTTATAATTTTTAATATATATTTAATGATGTTAAATTTTCTATAATCAATTAACTAACTATATATATTCAATTAATTTGAAAATTAATATACATGACCTACATAAATAAAACACTAAATCTAATGGTTGGTTTTTGAAAATATTCATCAAATGGTAATGCTTTTGAAGTTGGGACTCTAAATTTTTTATGAGAGTCAAAATTAATATACGCTTTTTCCTATATATATATAGAGGAGGGATCTATTCACATAAAATTCTTACACAGTATACTTACACAAAATTTTATTCATTTATTTCTTAATTTTATTCATTTATTTCATCATTTTCAATGGTTAAGATTTATTACGACTTTTTAAATAAAAAAGATAATTATTTTTAATAAATGTAAATAAATTTTAACAATTGAAAGTCAAAAAATGGGTGGTTGAGATTTTCTATAAGTTTAGTACCTAAAACTTATATGTAAATAAATTCCTAATATATATATAATGGGAATTGAAAATAAAACTAAAGTTTAACTATTTGATAGGAGCTGGTTGATCAAAAAATTATAGAAATTGATTCCTTGCTGATTTATCCCGCGGCTGAGTTTACCCACCATTAACAATTGTAGAGAATGAGAGAAGTTTCAAAAGGATGGTGTAATTGCACCAAATCAGAAGTCCTTCTTTAGTCCGCGTCTGCACTCCGGGATGACCTGCAAAGCCCCGAGGTGAAACTCGGGGTAGACACTCTGATGCTTAAGTCAGCAATCGAGGCTACCTTTAGAGCGGAGATAAAAAGAGCTTAGGGTTGGTTTCAATTACCTTTTGACGTGGCCCCGGGGGGGGTATTTATAGGATCCAATGAGGAACCCATGTGGCATGCCGAGCAAGATAATCGAAGCCTGACGTGTCTATCCAGACGATTATTCCAGGACCGGGAATTTGAGAGGCATTCAGATGCACGGATGTCCACCATACCTACTGTGCCGCTCATCATAAGGAATCAAGTGCGGGCATGCTTATTGTCATTGTCATGCAACTATTTGAGCGGGAAGCTTTGGATTTATCCCTCACTTCGGTCATAAAGGAATTACT